TTGCTGAGAAACAGAAAAATTTCTGAATCTGTGACAAGCAATTTGTGCAAAAGTACCTTCAAGTAGTAATAAATATTTTTGTTTATAGACGACCTTAGAATATATTTAACTAAAACCTTCTGAAAAGATTTGAGATCTGAGGTATAATTGCTCATTTAGTTATGTTGAAGCTAGTGTTAAAGCCTAAAAGTAGCTTTCAATTTACACCCTTTATAATCTAATTTTGCTTGTAAAAATCTTGAATATAATTTTTTTTTCTAAAACGTCTTAGAATCAAGGGAGACAACTTTTAATATACACTGACGTGCTAAAGTTCTTGTTATAGTTCCTAGTAGTGTGTAGTGTTACTTGTTCAGCAACTCAATGTGGTATTGATTCTATAAGTGGTCAGAAGACTTCTCAAGAAATCTGGAGCCATCTTGATACTTGATGTGCAGTTCATTGATATTTGTTGATGCAGGATCTTTTGTATGAATGGATTTCCCCAGCAAATGGAGATGATGAATGGGAGCAAATGGTCATGAAGCTGTGCAACACAGTATGTTTAAACAGATTAGTGGATCCAACCTATGCTACATAAACACACCCTACACCATTTATGGAACCACTCGGAATCTGCACAATACCTCATTGACAACTGTAATCCATTATCACATGCTGTCTGCACTAAACCCAAGCTCATCCAAAACAAATGGAAACATGATTTATCAGGGCATGTCACACTCCCACTCCTTCATAGTCCAATTAGCAATACTCATGTGATGCACTGTATTTAGTGCCATGTCGTTAACAGGGTCATGTTAGTGGATGGGTCTTCTGCTCCTATATCCCATAGTAGTTAAAGAACATTGGACTGACCTGCTGGATATGCATCTGGTACCTCCTGCTTTGAATGTGGATGGGATTTGAGCCAGTTTCACTTGTCTTTTACTGCAGACAATTCTAGCCAAACACTTCTGTTCACAATCATTAATGACCCATGGTCAGTCATTGCACCATACAGGTTGGATAGTAATGTCTTCTATCTGGTGCACACATGACATTGTAGATTAAGAGATTTCAATTGTTCCAACAATTTTAGAAATGGAATATCCCACCCATCTGGCAACCCCTCTCATGTCTTGTTCGAACTCCTATAATTCGCATCTTGCTGTTCACACAGGCTTGCCAGATGTTGGAGCACAATAGGTTCTGGGTATCTCCTGACTTTTGATATGTCAGTGTATATGCTTTTAATTTCTAATGCAAGAAAATATTTCAGTTTCACATTGAAAGATTGAAGTTCAAAGAGAAAACATATTCCTAACAAAAATATTCTTTTCAAGTTGGTTTGATTATTGGATAAAATTATCTTTTATTTAATAATAATCATCATAATCATCAGAAAACAAAACTAATTCATTTTTTTTCTGCAGCATTGTTATTTTAAGAACTAATTCAGAATGTGTATTGAGATATGCAATTGTTAAGAATGTTCCTGCAACAATAACTAATAAGAATTGTAGAAATTCAACATGCAAAGTGGCCAGCACTGTGTTGTATTACTTTTCCCTAATGAAGCTTCAAAGTGGGCAGTGCAAGGGGTTAATTGATTTAAACCTCATTAAAAGCTGATACTTTTTAACATTATTATCATAGTCCAGTCTTTTGGTAAATATAAAAGTTAACATATCAATAAAATGAAAATGTCTTTTAACCCTAGAACACTAATCATCAATTAAAGTTACACTACTACTAACCATGGGTATATCATACCTAATGTTGAAAATATCAAAAATATTAAATATAAATCTTTATTTGAAATATTTTACATGCAGGCACTTCAAACTTTGTACTTTGAGTTAACATTAATAGGAACTGGAAAACGTATTATTTAGGTAAGAAAATCAGGTACTGAAAATTGTAATTAAAAATAGGAAAATTTGCGCTGGTTACTATATACCCATGGTTAGTGTTCTAGGGTTAATACAATCTATTGTAGTCACAACTGGAAAATAATAGTGACAATACTGTGCAGTAGTACACCACTGGTTGAATCCATTGACCGAAGATAAACAATGATTATTTTATAAACTTTGGTTTGTATGAAGTTAGAAATATTGATTGCTGGACATTAGAAGATTTCCATTCATTATTTTAACAATTTTTTATTTTTTTATTTTTAGACATGAATAAAAAATCTTCAGATGTTTTTAAACTGCCAATGAGAACCCATCTTAGTTTTTTTCCATCCAAAATTTTGGTTATCATTTTTTATTTAACCTGTAATTTATTTCTTTGTCAGGTTCCTGGCACTGCTGAACAGGCGAGATCAAAGATCAAAGAATATTTCAATGAACTTCATCAAAATTTAAATCGACAAGAATTAGCAGCACTGACCACTGTAGACACTCACATTCGGGAGAAATTGTGCATGTTGCGTCAACAACAGGAAGATATGGCAATTTTATTAGGGCAGGTGTCCTCTGTGTGTCACCAGTGTGAGGTGACATTACAACAG